AAAAGGATGACCCCACGGAAGTCTCCTGTTTCCTGCTTCAATGTTAAATAGATAGGCCGTTAGTAATCAATCATGCCATCCATCAATTATACTCAAACAAGTAGTAGGGTTACTCACCCGGGAGTATTCGTCTACTGCCCAAACACAATCACCTCATTTCCTTGCTCCTTTTAGTCGATCCCCAGATCAAACAAGTATTAGGGTAACCCTCCCGGGAGTTACCCTACTATCAGTTTGATGCGTAGGAAATCAGTCAAAACAACTCTTAGTTAAGTTGCCCTGACCGTTCATCTATTTGCCTATGCATCGTAAATGAGCAAAAGGTATGTTGACTCCCACGGGAAGTCGGGCAGATCGACCCAGACTTAGGGGTTCGTGTACTCGCACGGTGAGTACCTAGTTCCTTTCCAAGTTTGGTCAGATCTGTGATAGGAGAACCCCACGGGAGCCTCCCACTACCTTTGCTTTTGTTAGTCGTTTGAAGACATGTACCCCACGGGAGTACCGAATTACTTTCTAGATCTAGCCTGTAAGGTAACAAGAAAACTGCACGGCAGCTTCTCGTCACTAATGCTGAAATCAAACAGACATTTCATCAATTGTCACTTTAGTCAGATGAATGGCAGGGTAATTTTGCACGGCAAGTACCCCGTCATCCATCTTAGTCAGCCCATGCAAACAGTGTGACGACCCCACGGGAACCTCCATCACACAACTTTGTTTCCCAAACCCAAGCAAACTAGGTTCCTTCTCGGTTCTCCTAGGTTCCTTCCTTTCATCAGACAGGATTCTTGCTTCAATCGTATACCTTTTTTCATTTCGATACACTTTTAGTCCTGAAGAAGACACAAACAATATATCACACACCCATACGGGCAATCCAGTAGAAGGTTGTAACTTGTATGGGTATATGCGAACGGAATAGGTGACGCATACCTCATGGTTCCCTGCCTCCAGAGTTCCTCCTAGTTCCGGCAGAGCTCCCGCAATCGCCCTGTTGTCTCCGTCTGTTTGATCCTTCTCCATAGAGTAGATTTTTCATTCAAAGATATCATACCATTTTGGATAGTTTGTGAAAACAAAGGGAAGTGAGGGGATTAGATCACGGGAGAATGGGGAAGGATGGAGGAGGTAGGCACCATCACACGGTGACGATGTCTCTCTCCACTCCAGTGCCCCATAATTCTCAAATCTGATCTTTCTCATTACCTTCAATAGCAATATGATAACAATGACGATGATTATAATAATATTACTGGATAAATATGGAGAAAAAGGAAAAGAAGGGATTAAATCAAGGAGAGAACAGAGGAGAATGGAGGAGGTAGGCATCGTCACACGGTGACGATGTCTCCCTCTGGTACCTTGCTCTTTCCCTCCCCATCTGATCCGCTTTCTTTTCCATGATACTAATTAATGAATGATAGTCAATAACAATGACAATCAACCGAAAAAATAAAAGTTTAGGGAGCAATAGTAAAGAGAATATTTTTAGTACAATAAATAATTTATCTCTTTGAAAAAAAAACAAACATGCAGGAGCCACAAAAACAGTCTTTTCGCCCTCTTTGCCATTGATCCCCTCCTTATTTCACTTTCCTCCTCCTTCTTTTTCTCATTTTCTAACATTTTTTTTTCTCCCTCATGCATTATCCTTGTTCCTACCACACACCCCGGGGCATAGCAACCCGCTCACCGTTCGGTACGCGTGTTTCTAGAACCATGTGCGTTTGATGCCCTGCCTGACCATAGTCTGCTGGTGTCATGCTGTTTGGCCGCGGCCCAAGCCGTTTAGTGCCCGTGCGTGGATGCGGCGACAATGCTACCGTCTTAGTGGCTTGCGGCCCCCATCTTACTATGCTGGCCTCATGCTGCGTGTGCCCGGGGCGGACTTCAACCAACTAGCCTGCATTACTGTTCACGACCCCTATCAAAAAAATGCAGGGGTAAGGGCCCTTGGCGGACATTAAGGCCTGCCTTCTCTTAGGGCGGCATGAGGCTGGTTGAGACCACAAACTACTGAATCAATAACAACATTAATAACAACAATAATAATAATAATAATAATAATAATAATAATAATAATAATAATAATAATAATAATAATAATAATAACAATAATAATAGCACCGTAAGGCAATGGGCAAAGGTGGAAGGACAGATTGCATATCGCGAGATCACATTGAAAGCCAGGAAGTCCGTCAGCGTCCGGAAGACAGTAATGTACTCGCATTCCATCAACGGAGAACCAAAGTTCTGAATCTGAATGTCAGTAAGATTATGCTCTCATTATTCCCAGATATAAGTACTCAGAGTCCTCCCTCTACCCGAGCTCAATACACAGGCTACAGCCACACAACTCGCTAGCAGGCTAGCAGCCAATGAATTGACAATGTATCCAATTGACGTCAACAACCGAATCTAAGTACATTCAGGCTTCGACCCCCGTAGACTATCACCAAGCCTAGGTACGTGCCCTTACATCGTCACCCTTCTCTCTCTCTCTCTCTCTCTCTCTCTCTCTCTCTCTCTCTCTCTCTCTTTTCATTCTCCTCCTTCTTTCTCTTCCTCTATTCTTCTCGCATATACACATACACACAACGGGTTTTATGACTGTGTCATATTAGTTTCTCAGACTTACGGGTGCCTGTGTCAGGGGCGTGATCCGACAGTCTGCTGCAGGGTTCGTATGATGACCATTTTCCTTAGGGGTATCACTGAATCTGTGTGATGCGATGAACCCTTATCCATCAGTCAAATGCCTCCCGGAAAGACTATTGGGACCAACCTCCCGATCAATCGGAGACATTCTGGCACAGTCGTGCCTATCCGGTGGCCGTGTATAACGAACATGACATAACTTGGATGCAAGCATGCGCATGAACTCACACATGTGCACACACACACACACAGACACACACATTCACACACACACTCACGGAGAGATCATACAATACCCACACTGGAAACCAGAGAGGCAAACTCCAGATATGCGCAACTTAGAAGTTTCAATAAATTATAACTTTAAACAGTTTCAGAGATCAGTCACCCTATGCTTAATAACTCAAAAGTCAGCAGCCCAATACCTGCATCCTCACCTTACGGTAAGTAACTCTCTTCTCTATCTGTGTTGTCTGTCCGTTATGTGTCTGTTTGGTCGACTGTCTCTTCTTCCCTTTCTCTCTCTCTGTGTCTGCGGGTGTGTGGCTATGTCTATGCGTGCGTGTGTCTGCCTGTCTGTGCCTGTCTGTTCCTGTATGTCTGTTTTTGTGTGTCGTTGTCTATCTGTTTGTCGCTGTCGGTATCTGTTTCGTCTGTTTATCTGTCTCTGTCCGTTTGTCCGTCAGTCTGTCTTGGTCCGTCAGTTTGTCTGTCGCTATCGGCATGTGTCTGTCTGTTCCTATCCGTGGTTTTGTCTTATCAGACTGTCTGTTTTTGTTTGACTGTCTTTGTTTGTCAGTCTGTCTGACTGTTTGTCTGTCGCTATTTTACCTTTGTCTGGTCAGTCTGTATCTGTTTATCTATATGTTTTTTTTGCTTCTCGTCTCCTTTCTCTCTCCCTTCTTCTTCTTCCTTTTCTCTCATTCTCTCTATCTCCCATGTACTAACTACGAGATTCTCTGGCCCCTATTTACTATTACCCAAAACCGTAATGGGACGAATGAGTGGCAAGAGAGAGGAAGGCATATTGAACTTTCATGCAGTCCGACCGTGTGGATTGGCTCGAGAGGTGTAGAATAAGTAAGAGCCTACTCCACCTTCACTTTTTCAATCGTATCCCCTCCTACACATCCGCTTCTTTTCTTCAAGTCATGCACATTCCTCTTTCACCTATATGCTTGCTTCACTCCTTCGCCACCTTCTTTCCACTCCGCACCCGCCTTTCTTCTCTATGCGTTTTCCCTCCTCTTTTCTTTCTCCCACTGTACTCTTCTACCCCCTAATGCATCATCCCCTCCATTTTTGCCCCCTTCGCTTCGACAGTCACATATTATAGCTAAGATTAAAACTCGATAATAATAATAATAATAATAATAATAATAATAATAATAATAATAATAATAATAATAATAAAAAATAGTGCGCAAAGGAATTGAGCAATAACAAGATGGCAATATTCAGAATGCACAATCACATTGAAAGTCAGAATGTATAGCCGTATCCAGAAAGCAACATTGCACTAATATAACACCAAGGGAGAATCGTAACACTGAAAACCAAATGTCAAGGAGAGCTCGCTCTCCCACCACGAACATATGCTTCCAGACCCTTCTCCCTACTTGGTGCTTCGATGCCCAGCCTATTCCCCACACAGTTACCACTAGCCTACTAATTGACAATGCAACAGTCGACGTGAGTAGCCGACGAAGTACTTGAAGACGTCGACCAATGCAGACCACAGCCAATACGAGGTATGTGCCCTCACATCATCATCATCATCATCCTTCTCTCTCTCTCTGTACATGTGCGTGTGTGAAATTCCAATGGAACAATTCGTCACGGCCTCTCGTTTGTTTTCTCCTTCTCCCCCTCTTTCCATGGTTTACCTGGCAGTTCTGTTTGATGATGTACATATATATATATATATACATATATATATATATACATATATATATATATATACATATTCCTCCCATACGTAGACGGCTCTCTGTCCCTTTCTCTCCCTCTTTCTCCCTCTCACACGCATACTCTCCCTTTCTCTCTCTCTCACTCATACACACACGTGCGCACTTCCCACACACGCACGAACGTAGTAGTAGTAGTATAGATTTTTGTGTTTTTGTGAGAGTTTTATTTGATGTAGCTCATCCTATCAGTGAAAGCAGTGTGAGATTGGTCGCTCGCCACACACACACACACACAAACAAACGTACATAACTGGCAAGTCGGCGGATGAGGCGGGACGAAGACGCAACAACGGGCGAACAGCGACGAAGGCGCAACAGCAACAGCACAAGCGGCGGCGTATATTTCCACATTGTTGCCGGAGATTCATTCGATTTTGCTCCTCCTATTGATAGAGGTAGCGTGATGATAGTTGCGGGGCTGGAGACTTACCTGTCGGCTGATGAGTTGCTCTACGACGCTGCTTGGACGACAACGAGTGCAGAGCCTTCTCACGAGTCTCGACACCTCCGAATACTGCCGGAACGCTCCGTTTGTGAGTGTGGACACGAAAACAACATCCCAACAAAGTTGCACCCACCCTCTATGGGATGAGGGTGCTGAAGCCGAGGATGGGCGACAGGTAAGTCGCCTCCACTCCTCCTCTTTTCTCCCTCTCCTCCTTCTTCATCTTCATCTCCCCGCGCGTCCCACTTCTGCTCGCTGGCATGTGCCTTTCCCTTTCCTTGCCCCCGTACCCCTCTCTTTAGCGTCCGTGCCCCTTTTCTCCTCGTTTGCGATCGCTACCTCCCTGCACCCGCTTCCTCTCATCGCGCGTTCTTTCATCCAACCTCTACCTCAGCGCGCACATCCCCCTCACGTTCCCTGCTG